TTGAGCATACCCCTTCACAACAAGTCTAGCCTTATGTTTGTGTATAGACCCATCTGGATTTAGCTTAGTTTGAAACACCCACTTCACTCCAATAGGGTTCTTATCATCTGGTTGTGGAACAAGACACCAAGTTTGATTTTTTTTTTTTTATCATAGACAGCTCCTCCTTCATGGCATCAATCCAAACCTGTTGCATAGTTGCTTCTTCAAAACAATTAGGTTCTGCAGAAGCTAAATTACATCTTGCATAAATCTCAGCTAGTGACTTGGTTTTCAAAACCGATGAATCATCATCAACTTCTGCAATTTTAGAACTAGAAGCAACATTAATTGATTTTAATTTTGAACTGACTTCACACTGCTTCTTTGAACCTTTTTCTATCTTCTCTGCATCCCATTCCAGTGTGCACTCTCATAAAAAACAACATCTTTATGCACATTCACCTTCTTGGATATGGGATCATACACCTTATAGCCTTTTGCTTGTGTTGCATAGCCTATAAAGATTCCAATTTCTGCCTTCTCATCTCATTTCCCTCTTTTAGCTGCTGGAACATGATTATAACAAATTGAGCCAAAAACCTTCAAATGATCAGCAAATGGTTTTTTATCATACTAAGCCTCAATAGGTGTCATGCCTTTTACCGCCTTTGTTGGTAAACCATTTAAAAGATAGACTATTTTATAAACTGCTTCAGCCCAAAATGATTTGGGCAATTTCTTCTCTGCCAACATGCGCTGTGCCATCTCCATAACAGTTCTATTTTTCCTCTCTACAATGCCATTATGCTGTGGGGTATAAGACACTGTTAATTGATGATCAACACCAGCTTCTTCACAAAACAAGTTGAAATCATTGGAGGTATACTCCTTGCCATTATCTGATCTGAGCTTTTAAATTCTGCATCCACTTTGGTTTTCAACCAAAGCCTTGAATTTTTTAAACACAGGTAAGGCTTGACCTTTGCTACCAAGAAAGTATACCCATGTCATTCTTGTAAAGTCATCTATAAAGAGGATGAAATATCTGTTTTGGCTGAGAGATGGTGTTCTCATAGGACCACAAATATATGTATGCACCAGTTCAAGCTTTTGAGTTGCTCTCAAAGATTTATTCACAGGAAAAGGTAATTTATGCATCTTGCCTAATTGACAACTTTCACAAACACTGTCAGTTAAATGCAATTCTGGCAAATCTCGAACAAACTCATGTGTTTGCATATATTTTAGGCCTTTGACATTGACATGACCATATCTTTTATGCCATAAATTTGCATCCACAGTTTTAGAGGTAGAAAACAATGCTGCACCTTTTCTAAATCCAAAGGAAAGATGTTTTCTACCATTTTCACCCTAACTATCTCATCACCAATAAAGTCATAAATAAAACATGAATTATGCACAAAGGATAGAGTATATCCCTTTTTCATCATTTGTGCAACAGAAAGCAAATTCTGGCTCAAGCTAGGAATAAACCGAACTTTAGTAATTTGCTTTGTACCTGTTTTAGTTTGAATAACAACAGTACCTTTCCCTTGTGATCTCACCACAGTACCATTTCCTAACTTGACATTTGTAATAACTGATTTGTCCATTTCAATGAAGAGACTTTCATCTCGAGCCATATGATTAGTGCATCCACTATCAACAAACCAAGTACTAGCTGGCAGAGATGAACCTTGAGACACTATGAACAAGTAGTCCTCCTTGCACTAATCTTCAGCATAATTAACTTGCTGTTGTTGCTTTGGTCTGTACTGAGCTTGTTGATGTTGTGTTTGATGCTGTCGCTGTTGCTTAGCCCTACAATTCTTCTCAATATGGCCATATTTTTTACAAAATCTGCACTGAATTTGTGATTTGCCTTTGAACCAACAATCTTTTGCTTCATGGTTTGATTTTCTATAATGATAGCATGGAGGAAACCTCCCTTTTCTGCTTTGTTGATGTTGCTGATATGCTTGGTTAGAACCATTGGTCTTATTGCTTTCAGAACTAGTGGCTGGTTGTTTTCCTTTTTGCCTTACAAGGAAGGCTCTTTCTGTAGTTTCATCAGTTTTCATAACCAGCCTTGGCTCATGAGCTTGAAGCTTGCTTATAAGCTCAATGATGGTTAGCTCTTTGAGGTCACAAGATTCCTCTATGGCAGAAATCTTGGACTCAAATTTATCTGGTACACTAACAATAATCTTTTCCACCACCCTTCGATTTGGAAATTCCTTACCATGAAGTCTTATTCGGTTGACAACATCCATCAATTTATTTGTATATTGATGGACTGTCTCTGTCTCCTGCATTTTCAGCATTTCAAATTGTCTTTTGAGGGTTACAATCTTGTTACCTTTAACCCGAGAACTGCCATCAAACTCTTTCTTAAGAGTATCCCATGCTTCTTGTGCTGTTTCTGCTCCCATGATCCTTGAGAAAATATCATCTATTACAACACTGTGAATATATGAGAGGGCTTTGTATGAGGCTTGAACATAGTCAACATGTTGCTTCATTTGGTCTACAGTTGGATTGTTTGGCAGCATAGGAGGATGAAACCCATCTTCTACAGATTCCCACACACCATTACCTTTTAGAAAGGCCTTCATTTTGATAGCCCAAACACTGTAATTTTCTCCTGTGAACATAGGAGGATTAGAAAGTGTTGAAGAATTGTTTGAAGACATGGCTGTGTTTTTTGTTTACACAACTTCTCTCCCTCACTAGCACTCATGTTTGCTCTCTCTCACCAGAATCTGATATGTTTTGCTCTCATAGGTCCCTCAAGACGATTATGCTCTGATACCAATTGTTAATTTCTATAGTAAACTAAAGAACACACTAATCTAGATTTTATGAGCTTCTCGGATGTGGAGCTCTACTTCATTTCAGATTGATAACTGACATACAAAAAGAGTTGCTGAATATCTGCAACTTATACATT